TCACAAAAGTTGTGTACTAGGGCCACAAAGAAAATTTAAAGAAGATCCCCCCTCTACAAGTTGAAAAATTACAAGTCATATTCATTGATTGTAATGCAGTAAAAATAACAACAGTTATGATAGCCAGAAATCTGTTTTGACATCAAGTAAATAAATTTTGGTTAATGAGGAAATACATAAAAGTGACAAATTATTTAGAGTAAAACCTACAACATATGACCAAAACAGTAGTCAGAAAGTTCTTTTGATTGCTTTTTGATATTACTTTTAGCTTTTATTCTTTTTCATTTTATTTTTCACTATGTAAGACACTTTGTTCAAAAGTCAAATCTTTTACAAAAAATTGCAACCTCAGAAACATTTCACTTCCATTCCTGTCCTTTTTACCTTGCCCCCAATTCTCACTCCCATAAATACCTTTTTTTTTTTTAAATCAGTTGTAGGTTTATTCTTCCAGAATTTCTTTTTGTGTAACTCAGGAAATATTATGTGTATTCCAATTTCCATTCCTTGGTTACATGATAGCTCACATACTTTGACAGACATTTTTCCATTAAGTAACATGCTGGCTTTTGTGTTGAGAATCCATTGATCCTATTTTATTATTTTTAAAATCAGGAATGAATGTTGAATTTGTCAGTCTTTCCAGCTCCTGTGGCAATGATCATTTTTTTTTCTCCTTAGATCTATTAACATATCATTAGTACTTTAAACATAACAATTTGTCTGGATTCCTGATTGATTTTCCATCTTCATTAATCAATAATTACAATCATTTGAAAACATTTCTTATAGTTTGATGTATCTCTTGAAATGCATACACGTTTAATCTCACCTTGACATTTCTAGAAAAGTAGCATGTTTCTGAAATTCAGAAAAGTACTACCAAAGACTAACATGTTTTCCAAACTGACTTTCAGAGAACAGGCTTTCCATGAAGTGGCTGACTCCTTTTGCTTAGTCTCATTCCTTGAACTGTACGGTAAACTTGAAAATTTTGGTTTCCAAGATTATCTTTTATTCTTATAATTATACATTATATAATAATTAGAAAGATTGAGTCACTAACTACAAATGTTTACAGAATTTCTTCCTCACATTTTTCACCTCCACTCAGTGATATATCTAACTTTGGGATTCCAATGGAAGGTGGGAAATGAGGAACCATTTTTGGTGCTGTTTGGCAGACTATGTATATAGGTAGCTAAAAGGCTTACACACACTGTTGTCGAGTTGGACCCAACTCATAGGCCCCCTCCTTGGGTTTCTGAGGTGGTATCGCTAGGGAAGTAGATTGCCCAACCTTCCTTCAGAGGAATGGCTGGTAGGTTTGAACCACCAACCTTCTGGTTAGCAGTCAAATGCCTTAGGCATTACGCCACCAGGTCAGGCTTATTCATCAATTCAGGCCTCCAAGCATCTGAAGGTCGTTTGTGTCAAAGATGTATCTTGCCCCTGGCCTTTACTTTTTACTATTCTAAGTGATTTAGACTTTCAAATTTGAATAAATATATATTCTAGGGCTCTGGTAGCATAGTGCATAAGGCACTTGACTACCAACCAGAAGGCTAGCAGTTCAAACCCACCAGCCACCCCTCGGAAGGAAGGTTGGGCAACCTACTTCCGTAGTGATACTGCCTCGGAAACCCAAGGAGGGGTTCGTATGAGTCGGGGCCGACTTGCCTGCACATAACAACAACATATACTCAAAACTGAGCTACATGTGCAACAAAATTCGAACCTACAGGCATGTTATCTGTTTCTATATCTAAAGACAAAAAGTAGGTCCTAAGTCTCTCACTACCAGCCTCTTCTTCTCCCCAATTCTTTCTCACTCCTGCTGCAGAGGAAGATATTTAAAAATTATTTGTAAGTAAGACTTATTTTTGATATTTTAATATAAAGACTAGGTCCCTGGGTGGTGCAACTGTTTGCTCTTGGTTGGCAGCTAGAACTCACTCAGAGGCATCTCAGAAGAAAGGCCTGGTGATCTGCTTCTGTAGAGATGACAGACAAGAAAATCCCATGGGGATAGTCCTACCTGTGACATGTAGGGTTGCCATGAGTCAGAATCAAGTGGATGGCAATAGGTTATATAAAGACTATGGTACAACAGGGGAGCTCTGGTAGCGTAGTGCCTAAGGCATTTGACTGCTGACCAGAAGGCTGGTGGTTCAAACCCACCAGCCATTCCTCGGAAGGAAGGTTGGGCAATCTACTTCCGTAGTGATACCGCCTCAGAAACCCAAGGAGGGGTTGCTGTGAGTCGGGTCTGACTCGATGGCACATAACAACAACAACAACAACAACATGGTACAACAGGAGCTCTGGTAATGTAGTGCCTAAAGCACTTGACTGCTAACCAGAAGGCTGGGGGTTCAAATCCCCCAGCTACTCCTCGGAAAGAAGGTTGGGCAATCTACTTCCATAGTGATACCACCTCGGAAAATCTAAGGAGGGGTCACTTGAGTCAGGTCCACTCGACGGCACCAACAACACAACATGGTACAATATAAAGCAGCAATTCAGCAGGCTCCATAAAGGCATTTCTCCTCTCCTTTCTTTGGTTTAAGTTTCTTTTCCTTTATTTACCATTTTCTCTTTTGATCCGAAGATTCTCTATCTGCTTGTCAAAAAACTTCTCCAGCTTTCTTTTCCCCCTCTTTCTGTGCAGGTCAGCACAGCACCATACCAAGTATGCTATTGCTGTATTCTTCACTATGAGTACACCGTGGTTGTTATAGTTTGTGTACTCTGATATAATTCAGAGTTTTTTTTATTTGTATCTGTAAATATATTTGCATACTTTGGGTTTTCTTTTTCCTTAAACAAAAATTTTTACAAAGCAATTATTTCAGAATGTGTCCTCTTTTACTTTTACAAAACATTTCAGAGGAAATCTGAGAGAAGTTATGACTAGACTACCAGAGTTGAAGGTACAGAGAATTGCCTAACCTAGCTCATTTGACACATGTAGCAATTCAGGCACAGAGAGGTTGAGTGACTTACTGAATAACACACAGGACAAAGAAACACACAGAGGAAGGATAAACGAAAGTCCTGCATAAAGCATACTAATCTGGCTTAGTGTCCAGGAACAGAAGTTAGTTCTTATTTTTAGTTCATGGCTATTTTGACACAAGAGCAATACTGTTGTTAGGTGCCCTAGAGTTGGTTCTGCCTCATAGCTCCAGACACAATAAATGCAGCACTGCCTGGTCCTGTGCCAGCCTCACAATCGTGGCTATGCTTGAGCCCATCATTGTAGACACTGGGCCAATCCATCTTGCTGAGGACCACCTTCCCCTTTTTTGCTGACCTTCTACTTTAGCAAGTGTGACATCCTTCTCCAGGGAATGGTCCCTTCTGACAACATGACCAAAACAGGTGAGATAGTCTGGCCATTCTCGCTTCCTAGGAGCATTCTGGCTGCACTTCATCCAGGAAAGAGTAGAGTAATAGAGGTCAGTCTAAATTGTAAAGTCAGGGAAACAGAGAAAGTTTTGTCCTTTGGCAGTGAACAGAGCTCACTGCCCAGAACGCTGTAAAAAATTAAGGTCATCGATAATTATTCTATTAGTGCCTGCTTCCTTTTCAAGGCCTACCCACACAACTATGTCTTGGTCTCTCTCACCCGTCATCCATCATTTCTGAGCACTGAATGTCCAATGCTCTGTGGACTTTTTCTGCTCTTTTCGGGTGGAATTAATTCTTTTTAATTATTTTCTATTAATTCATTGGCAGAAAGTTTTTTCCACATTTTTATAGGCATTTTGACTCTGAAAGAATTTATTATACATGTACTTTAACCTCAGAGGAGACCAGAAAAAAAAGCAAAATGGAACAAGAAATTAATTTTCAATTTACAAGGACATTAACAGATGAAGTATGGTTGGTTAGAAAAAATTTCCTGAAATAAAATAACACTCATTCATTCCTTGTCATTAATGTGGTTTTTCACAATACCAAATTAAATATATTTTTAAAGAAATGTTCTGTGTTCTTTTAAGCAAATATTTTTCCTAAATTGAAGCAAAAGGAAAAACTTCATTCAAATGAATAAATATTGGACTGTTTACTATTTGCAAAGCACTGTGGTGGTCCCTACAAAGTTACAAAAAACGGTAAGTCTCTACCTTAGGTAACTGGGTATTATGCCATCTTCACCTTTCAAAAAAGTCTTTGCAGACAAAAAGTCTGTTCTGTGAGGGAAATCAGGCAAATGCTTATTCTTGCCCCTTCATCACCAGCAGATAAAAGAGGGACCTGACATTCTTAATGAACGTAAAACAGTTAAGTGCTTGACTACAAACCAAAAGGTTGGCGATTGGAACCCACCCAGAGGTTCCTCGGAATAAACGCCTGGAGATCTGAAAGGCCAGTTTCAAAACTCTACGAATGCAATCCACGGCAACTAACAACAATGGAAGTCTTCCTGGTGGAGCTGATTTTGGCGAAGGTTTTCTTCCGAGAAGATAAATGGAAAGAAGGATGGGATGAGGCTGTTGTTTTTGTTGTTATGTGCCGTGGAGTCGGACCGACTCAGCAACCGCTCCTTGGGTTTCCGAGGCAGTATCACTACGGAAGTAGATTAACCCATCTTCTTCCGAGGAGTGGCTGGTGGGTTTGAACCACCTGCCTTCTCGTTAGCAGTCAAGTGCCTTAGGCACTATGCTACCAGAGCTCCGGGGATGAGGCTGAGAGGTGACAATTCGCACACACAAGATTTGCGGTCTCTTTCCCACAGAGTCAGCGCTGGAGGAGCCCCGAATAGAGAGAGCAGGCGCGACTACTTAATAGCCACGCCCTTTCAGAGAAGGGCTCCCGACTGTCGCCCTAGCTTAAGTTTCCGGAAGGGCCTGATTCTAGAGAGGACCAAACCGGATGGAGGTCGCGCACCGTCTTCCGCCCGCTTTCCGGGTCACCAATGCCAGGCTTCTGAGTGAGGCAGGGCCACACATCCGGGAGGTTCTCCGGCTCTTTGCTCCACACGCTGCGCGATGCCTGGTCCGCATGTTTCTCGCGTCCGGGCTCTGTATCGGCGCATCTTGCTATTACACCGGGTTCTACCCCCAGACCTCAAAGCCCTAGGGGACCAGTACGTGAAGGATGAATTTAAGAGACATAAGAATGTTGGTTCTGACGAGGCTCAGCGCTTCCTGCAGGAGTGGGAGGCAAGTGTGGCCCCCTTTTCTTCGCCCTAGAACTTTGGGGTCCCTCAGTGGTGCCCGGGTTTGTCCCTGTCGGAGATCTGTTCGGGCTCGTCTCCCAGCGACCCATCTAGGATCAAAGAGTAGCATCCTATTCTATGTGAATCAAACAGCGTAAAGCTT